ACCAAAAATAGTTGATAAACTAAATAATTATTTTTTAAAACAGAAAATACTAATTAATTCATTTCTTAAAACTAAAAAAACTAATTTATAATTTACTCTAAATAAGGCACGTAACCATATCAATCAATATTAACTTCAAAATAATTCACGTTACCCATCCTTATTCAACATTTTCTATAAAAATACAAGGTGATCACTTTGTGGAATATTAATTAATTTATTTTTTATTAAGAAGTCTGGCGGTTTTGAACTATACATAATGGAAAGTAATTCTTCCAAATAATCCTGAGTAATAGAGACTTAAGCATTATTTTACTAAAAGAATTTTTCAAATATCACGGTTAGTTAAGTCAAGCATGTGTGTATATTATGTCGATAATTATTAGAGTTCAAGAATTAATAGATCAATTTATCCTTATATAATATAGTAATTATTTAAGGTGTTACCTTATATATTATGAAAACACAAAATATGTATGAAATTTATTCATAATACGAAAATGAGAGATTAATTCATAAGAAGAGGATAGGTATTTGATATGAGAAAACTGGAATAAACTTTTTGAGAAACTATAATTTTTATGTCTAATCATTAATTTTTTTTTCTTTCGAGTGTCCAACCTCTAATTTTTATTTTATTTTATTTCAATCCCTAACTTTTGATTATTTTTTTTTCTATTTGAGCGTTCACAACCACCTTAACGTGAGGTGGTGACATGTTTGAAATTGATTGTCACATTATACTTTTGAATAATACATAATAGCTTTTGTCGGACACATCGGCAAAATTAAAACTCAAGTGAAATCGGATACTAAAACAAGCAAAAAATCAAAATTTGGATAGGAAACCATTAAAAATCAATAATTGGATATCAAAATAGAAAAAAATTAATTATCGGACACGGCAAAAGCTTTTCTCTATATTATTGATCAATGATCTATAGTTTAGGAAGAGGTTTTCAAGTATATTCGTTTTTTATTTTTGTCGCACTCTCATATTTATTCAAGTCACATGAACACAACAAGTACATAACAAGTTCAATCAAATCCTTATAACGTGTACAATAAAATTTAAATAAAAATATTAAAAAATACTACTGGTTTAGGTCAAATCAAATCTGACACTTACCTTACCTGTTAGATTTGATTTTTTTATGGTTTGATTTTACGTTTCAAAATACTTATTTGGCAATTTGAAATCCTCCCAAAAAGTGGGGCCACAGCAAATAAATATGAAAGGGACAAAGTCAAATTGGGGTGGAGGGAAAACATTGTTCCTTCTAATTTGGTAGGACGTGAATTGGTGTTTTGTTGAATAAATTATAAATTAGTCTCTATAGTTTTGAGAATTTTTAATTTTTTTTTGTCCATTTTTTTAAGTTAAAAAAATATAGATATTATAAAATAATTGATGAAAAAAAACATTTTTAATAGATTAATATTAAACTAAGCATGATCAAAACTCAAAACGGAGTAAAAAACTAAAAAAACAATTTTTAAAATAAAAATAACCAGTTAATTAGTTTTTTAAAATTAAAAAAACTAATTTATAATTTACTCGGGGTTCGTTATCAACTATGCATCCATGCCAGCTCCCTCCTTCTAGAAGGTGTGCTAGGGGAGGCTTTTTGCCTGTTGGCCTTCTCGACTCGAGGTAAGAATATGACTTTGTTCTTAATAATTTTTTTTGTTAATTTTTTTTTGTTTTCTTAAAAAAAAAATAGAAAAAAAGATATTATGAAAAATTGATGAGAAACAAGACTTTTTTTTTAAATAAAATAATATTAAATTAAGCTTAATTAATATTAATTAATAAACTAAATAATTATTCTTTAAAATGCGAAATATTGATTAATTCATTTCTCAAAAAAAAAAAAACTAATTTATCATTTACTTTGAATCTGGCACATAACAATGTTAATCAACATTAACTTCATAATGAATTCATGTTACCCATCGTTATTCGATATTTTCATTGAAATTACAAGATGATCACTCAGTGAAATATTAATTAATTAATTTTTTATTGAGAGGTCTAACGGTTTTGATATATATACAATGGAAAGTAATTCTTCCAAATAATTTTGAGTAATAGAAACTTAAGCATTATTTTACTAAAATAATTGATCAAATATGATGGTCAGTTAAGTCAAGCATGTGTGCATACATAGATGATTATTAAAGTTCAAGAGTTAATATATCAATTTATCCTTATATAATAAAATAATTATTTAATGTGTTATTATATTATTAATCGAGTCAATTTTATTTTTAAATATATGTTATGTTTTCAATTTATTATTTTGTCAATATTTGCAAATAAAACAATCATAATTATTTACTTGGTTTATACGTAATTAATTTTTATTTCTAAAATACCCTTGAAGATTGTCAAATAAAAAGTTTTTGTGTGTGAACTGCGTGATCAATTTTGGTAATTTAGTCTACAAATTTCGATAAATCGATAGATTAAACTCTTATTGTTACAGTTAAGAATAAAATTGATAAAATTAAAAATATAATAACAGGTTTAAGGATCACCGTATTATATAAAAAAAATCAAACTGTGCCATCAACTTGAAAAAAATATAATAAACAAAAATAAAGTTAGTTGGAATTGGTGATGGAATCAAGTCCTCCATAAAAGGAAATGAACCAACCAATCTGAAAAGGACATGCAGAACTTGGAACGGATGTTCGGGGCAGTTGTGTTGTGAATTAGTGTAGGATCAGATCCTGTCATGTCAGCAATTAAAGAAGCAATTAAATGCCTTGTGAAGTTGTTGAACTTTAAACAATCATGAAAGCAAACACGATCAACGCAAAGAAGGGCAATTCTAAAAAAATATCTCCAATTATTCGAATAATTTTAATTTTGCTCCAAAACAAAAATTCGTAAGGATTTGATGCCTAAATAATTTCCATTCTCAATCGAGGCTTTTTGTTAGAATTTCTTAATAAACAACTTAAGTTCCCTATAAAAGAGTGTCATTAAAAAAAAAAACAAAAAAAGACTCGATAGGTCTTTATATAATAGAATATTTTTTTAATTTATTTTTTTTATATTTTTAATTGAATTAATCTTATCTTTAAGTATATATACGTTAAGTTTTTAATATATTATTTCAGTAAAATTTTTAAACTAGACTACTGGAATTAATTGTCTAATTTACATACAAAAACCTTTTATTTGTCTCTCTTGTAAGAATATTTTAAAGATAAAAAAATAATTATATGTAAATTACCTCACTAATTATGATGGTTGAATTTAAAAATATTATTAAAAAATAGATTAGAAGCTTAACATCTATTTAACAATAAATTTAAAAATATAATAGTAGATTCAAAAATTAACTTATTATATAAGAATATATTAAGCCATTAATCGAAAGAAATACGGACTAAAAGACTAAATTTGGAGGTATAATTTTAGAATTGCCCGAATACATACATACATACATGCATACATATATACATACATACATATATATATATATATATATATATATATATATATATATATATATATATATATAAACCAAAGAAACTTCAAAGAAACGGGTCTCTAAATTCAATTCTTGAAAGAGGAAAGACAGATGGATATTTGAATTGAAGATGCCAGTCAAATCAGGACAAACCCTTAATTAATTAATTTATTAAGTAATGGAATATCTCCACGTTGGTTCCTTAGCAGACCTTCTAGAAACACAAAATTTTGAAACTCAATTTGCTCTCTCTATCTCTCTCTCTCTGAAAGAAAGACTTTTCTTCTTCTAAATTTTCCATCCTTTGATGACTCATGTAACGGGGAAGTAAATTATAAATTAGTCCCTATAGTTCCAATAGCTAATTAATTAATCTCTATAGTTTTATATTTATTTGTAACTTAATTTTTTTATTCTTTTTCAATTTATTTTGCTTTTTTTTAAATAAATAAAAAATAAGTAAAAAATATGAAAAGATTAACGAGAAAAGAAGATATTTTTCTAGATCAAAATAATATTAAATTAATTATTATCAATTCTAGCTAATAAACTAATTAATTAAATTTTAAATAAAAAAGACTATTTTATTTATTTTGTAAAATCAAAGGGACTAATTTATAACTTTACAAATACAATAAAAGATTATGTAAATCGAAAATTATTTCCAAAACAACATAATATTCCACAATTGTTCGAAAATTATGTTGTCCTAAAAAATTTTATCACATTATTTTCGTAAAATTCAAAACGTGGTAAAATTTTGTAAATCGAAACTCAAATCAACTAATAATTACATCTTTACTTTTACGAATCTATCTATGAAAATTTCGTTTTTTGTTTTTTAATATAGAATCTGGAAAGCATCATGAATTATAGTAATGGATTTATTAAATACTATCAAAATGAAAACTTTATCTGGACAATTTGATTTGATGTTACCATTTCTTCTTAGTCTAGCACAAGTAGTTTTCATTTTTTTTGTTTTTTTATACTTGTCGCCTTCCATTGCTGACTATTTCCTTATTTCTTGCAAACCCCGTCGTCTCTCTTACAATGCCTTTGACTTTGTACATATCTCTGTGTCCCTTCAACACGCTTCTTCAGCCACCATTACTTCTCCGCAAGCTCAGCCTTTCTAAAATCATTCATAAGCTTCTCTCTGTCTTCCTCTCCCTTCACTTGTAGTTGGTTTTGCTTTAGTTTTACATGAGAAGTAAGTGCTAGCAGTTTCGAAGTGTAAATAGAGCTGATATTGCAGGTGATTTTCCTTCGTGTCTGTTGATATCTCGATCCTTTTTTTTTTTTTTGTACATTTTTTAGAGAAAGACTGATTCTTTTCGTAGCTTAAGCTATTTTAGTTTCTGGGTTTTGGTTAAAGGTCAAATCTTTGCTGCTCCTGCTGCTGTTGGTGGTGTTGTTTGTTTGTTTTGTTTCCTTTTGTTTTTTTGTGATTTTTGGTTGAGAGAGATTAGGGCCAAGTATTATGTTGGTGGAGAGCTGTTTTAGTTTTAGTTCATGGTTACAGAGAGGCCTTTATTGATCCCATCACCAAGAACACCAAACAGCACTCAAGATTTGCCTAGTTTACCTGTTTTATCTTGTAGTGTTGTAAAAGTCAATCTTGATAATTCTAGATTGGCTTCTGGGATGGCGTCTCAAAACCCAATTGAAAGTTCATCAAGTAATGAAATTTCTTATAAATCTTCTTCAAGAAGAAGTCTTTCTTCAAATCCATCAAGGGCTTCACGTGGGAATTCAGTTAGAGCAGGTAGTTTTCGTGATTTAGGACCAAGGCCTGTGAGGTTGGGGTCTAGAGGGGGTGATTCAGAGATGTTTAGTGCATCCCAGAAAGAAATTAGCGATGAGGATGCTAGGTTGGTTTACTTAAATGAGCCTGCAAAGTCAAACGAGAGGTTTGAGTTTTCTGGAAACTCAGTTCGAACTTCGAAATATTCTCTCATTTCCTTCATACCTCGAAATTTGTTCGAGCAATTTCATAGAGTTGCATATGTATACTTCCTTATTATTGCTGTGCTCAATCAGCTCCCCCAGCTGGCAGTTTTCGGCAGGGGAGCTTCCATTATGCCACTTGCATTTGTGCTGCTAGTTACAGCAGTTAAAGATGCTTATGAAGATTGGAGAAGGCATATGTCAGATAGGATTGAAAACAATAGATTGGCATGGGTTTTGGTTAATGATCAGTTTCAACAAAAGAAATGGAAGGACATTCAGGTTGGTGAGATAATCAAGATTCAGGCAAATGACACTCTTCCTTGTGATATGGTGCTGCTCTCGACTAGTGATTCAACTGGGGTCGCCTATGTGCAGACTATAAATTTGGATGGAGAGTCGAATTTGAAGACTCGGTATGCAAAGCAGGAGACCCTTTCAAAGATTCCTGAAAAGGAAAAGATTTGTGGGTTGATTAAGTGCGATAAACCCAATAGGAACATATATGGATTTCTGGGAAATATGGATGTTGATGAGAAACGTCTGTCACTTGGGCCATCCAATATCATTCTGCGTGGCTGTGAACTCAAGAATACTGATTGGGCGATTGGAGTTGCAGTGTATTGTGGTCGTGAGACCAAGGCGATGCTTAACAACTCAGGAGCCCCGTCAAAGAGGAGCTGGCTTGAGTCACGTATGAACTCAGAGATCATTGTACTCTCTGTGTTTCTTATTGCTCTGTGTACTGTTGTCTCCATCTCTGCTGCTGTGTGGTTGAGGCGCCACCGTGATGAGTTAGATACTCTGCCCTTTTATAGAAGAAAAGATTTCAGTGATGCAGAGCCGAAGAACTATAATTATTATGGATGGGCGGCAGAGATATTATTTACATTCCTCATGTCAGTTATTGTGTTCCAGATCATGATCCCTATTTCTTTGTACATTTCTATGGAGCTTGTACGGGTTGGCCAGGCTTATTTCATGGTTCACGATACTCAAATGTTCGATGAGGCTTCAAATTCAAGATTTCAATGTCGGGCGTTGAATATAAATGAGGATTTAGGTCAGATAAAGTATGTTTTCTCTGATAAAACTGGTACTCTCACTGAGAACAAGATGGAGTTTCAATGTGCAAGCGTATGGGGAGTAGATTACAGTGATGGGAAGGCCAGTACAAATCAGCAAGATAGATATTCTGTTAAAGGTAGTGAATTGTTGTTATTAACCAAGTGTTTTCAAGTCTGAACTTTTTGATTTGTTTTTGCACAAACTAACTCTCTCTTTTTTATGTCTTTCGTGCGTGTCTTGTTTGTTATCAGTGGATGGGAAGATTGTGAAGCCGAAGATGACGGTGAAGGTTGATCCTCAGCTTTTAGAATTATCAAGAAGTGGAAGGGATACAGAAGAAGTTAAACATGTTCATGATTTCTTCCTTGCATTGGCAGCGTGCAACACAATTGTTCCTCTTATTGTCGACCACAAGTCTGATCCTACTGTGAAGTTGATGGATTACCAAGGGGAGTCTCCAGATGAACAGGCACTGGCTTATGCTGCTGCAGCGTATGGCTTTATGCTTATAGAACGTACTTCTGGCCATATAATTATCGATATTCATGGAGAAAGGCAAAGGTATATTTTGTCGTTGCTTTTCTCTCGGTTTTTTCCCAATTTCTTTGCATACCTGCATTATTACTGCCATTACTCTACAGCCGCTTCATTGACGAGAACTACTGCTAAAGCTGCCACCGTGTGGTGCATAATTGCATTACAAAGTATTTAAAAGAAATAGATGTCAGTGATAATTCTATCCATTTTAGAGGTCTACTGTTACATTCAGCTTTTTGGTGGAGGATGATAGTCATTTAAAAACTGTTTACTTGTTTAGATGAGAAATTTTTATTTTTTAAAATCCTTCCCATGAGGAGTTGCTTTCTGAAATATAGGTGACTACGTGCTCTGTTTTATCTCAATTGTGGATTATATAAATCATGATAGACAGAAAGTGAACTGAATAGTGATGGCACTGCTTGGAGCAGCTACAGTTGATTACTCGCTCCACTGACTGTTGTTGTAACTTTGAGTTTCCTTCCTGGAAAGCTGGTTCTTACTATTTTCCATATGGACCGTGCAGGTTCAATGTTTTTGGTTTGCATGAGTTTGATAGTGACCGGAAGAGGATGTCAGTTATACTGGGGTGCCCTGACAGTACAATGAGAGTCTTTGTAAAAGGTGCTGATACATCCATGTTTAGTGTGATAAATAGATCTTTGAACAAGAATGTAATACGTGCAACCGAAGGCCATCTTCATGCTTACTCATCACTGGGTTTGAGAACACTTGTAATCGGGATGCGTGACTTGAGTGACTCAGAATTTGAGGATTGGCACTTCTCTTTTGAGGCAGCTAGCACAGCTGTAGTTGGCAGGGCTGCTTTGCTACGCAAGGTTGCTAGCGATGTTGAAAAGAGTCTCACAATACTTGGTGCGTCTGCTATTGAAGATAAACTGCAACAAGGGGTGCCAGAAGCCATAGAATCTTTGAGGACAGCAGGAATTAAAGTGTGGGTTTTGACTGGGGACAAGCAAGAAACTGCCATGTCAATTGGCTACTCTTCAAAGCTCCTAACAAACAAAATGACCCAGATTATAATCAATAGCAACTCTAGGGATTCTTGTAGGAGATGTTTAGAAGATGCCTTGGTCATGTCTAAGAAGCTGAGGACTGTGTCTGAAACATCAGATCACACTGGAACAAGTTCTGAAGCTGCTAGAAGCCCAGTGGCCCTGATTATCGATGGTACCAGCCTTGTCTATGTACTTGACAGTGAACTCGAAGAACAGGTAATTATTTACATAATCACCTTTATGTTTCTCTATTTTGTATCAAAATTGTTGTTCGCTGATGTAGCTTACTTATTCTTGGCTGTAGCTCTTCCAACTGGCCAGTACATGTTCTGTGGTCCTTTGTTGCCGGGTGGCTCCATTGCAGAAAGCTGGAATTGTGGCCCTAGTGAAGAAGAGGACTTCTGACATGACACTCTCCATTGGAGATGGTATTCTCTTGATTTATTTTAGATAAATATCTTATGCTTCCAAAGAGAGAACTTTGGGAGCTCAGGAATATATTTTGTCTTTTCTTATATTGTGTTTGAGGCTGACATTGGAAAAATTGTTCTGAAACTTTACAGGTGCTAATGATGTCTCAATGATCCAAATGGCTGATGTGGGAGTTGGCATCTCTGGGCAAGAGGGTCGGCAAGCTGTAATGGCATCAGATTTTGCAATGGGGCAATTCAGATTCTTGGTTCCGCTTTTATTAGTCCATGGACATTGGAACTACCAGCGGATGGGCTACATGATACTATACAATTTTTACAGGAATGCAGTGTTTGTTTTTGTTTTATTTTGGTGAGTATTGCTTGGTTTTGTTTGATCATTTCTTATATTCTAAGCTCTCCTGAATATGCCAACTAGTTTAGCTGGTAAAATTTGTTGGGCATTGTAGTAAGCATCAACTAATTCTCTGCATGAACCTAACAACTTCACGAGCTTTGTTGATTCTTTATGAAGAAACAGAACACTTCTCAGCTTATCTACAATTGAATTAACATTTAAATTATGTTTTTTTGTTCTTTAACGGCAGACTTTCTAAATAAACTCCCTTCCCCCTCTTTTCCTTCTTTGAAATGAGTAAATAAGTTCCTTCTGTAGGTTTCTGTTATATAATCATAGAATACCTATCACTCAGATTAATTTGTAAAAGGAACAGTTAAATGAATCAGAAGCTGACTGGTTGAAAATAGACGAACCTTTTGATCCCTAGATCCCTTCTGTGGTAGATATCTAGGCTCAAACAAGCATCGCTGTGTTTTCGGAAAAACATTCTCATTGTAGTCTTTAGTATAACTCAAGTTTATGTTGCCCTGCAGTCCATGATAACATGGCTTTTAATGTTCTTTTGTGCGCTCTGTGCAGGTATGCACTCTTTGCTTGTTTCACTTTGACGACTGCAATCAACGAGTGGAGCAGCATGTTGTATTCTATAATCTACACTTCACTACCCACCATTGTTGTTGCCGTTCTGGATAAGGACCTAAGTAGAAGTAATCTCCTAAAGTACCCTCAGCTTTATGGAGCTGGACAAAGACAAGAGGCATACAACAGAAAGTTGTTTTGGCTAACAATGTTGGACACTGTGTGGCAAAGCTTAGTTGTCTTTTTCGTTCCTATCTTTGCATATTGGGCGAGCACCATCGACGTGCCAAGTATCGGAGACCTTTGGACTCTCGCTGTGGTTATTTTGGTTAATTTACACTTGGCCATGGACATCATCCGATGGAACTGGATCTTTCATGCAGTTATTTGGGGATCTATAGTTGCAACTTTCATTTGTGTCGTGATCCTCGACGCTATGCCAATGTTTGCTGGTTACTGGTATGCCTTCTTCTCTGTCATTATCCTCGATGCTACGGCAATGTTTTCTTCCGCATGTACATATATATACACTTGACTAATGCTTGCAACTGCAATCTAATATTACAGGGCAATCTTCAACATCATGGGGGAGTGGTCGTTTTGGGAGTGCTTGCTTTGTATAATTATAGCAGCACTCCTTCCTCGTTTTGTCGTTAAAGTTCTTTACCAGTACTTCACTCCTGATGACATTCAGATTGCAAGAGAAGCCGAGAAGTTCGGCCGCCTGAGGGACATAGCCGTAGAAGTAGAAATGAATCCAATCATGGAACCTCCTCCTCGGAGATGATGACAAAGATGGTAATCTTGGTTCCTTGTACATCATCATACATTTTTGTTTTTGTAGAAAAATTCACATTCTTTAGGCTTCTTGAGAGCATTATCACTCTTGAGTTTCCGGATTTTCATTGTTTGCTATCCGAAGGATACATAGAGGTTGTAATTCTTTAGGTATTGTATTCATACAACGTTGTATCACATAAAATCATCAGTGTAAATTATTAAAGTTACTACAAGTTTTAAGATTTATCTCGATTTTGATGCTGTCACGTAGGATATGTTTTTCCTCGGTTCCGATATACATCTTTTCGGGTCGACAATAGCTCAAAATATACGCAGGTTTATCGGGGAAGTGCATTTACCGGAGCTTGAAACAGAACTAGTTCAACTAATTAAACTAGTTAACAAATGAACAAAATTGGATAGGTATTTTACCATACTACCCCTAAAGGAAATTTTAATGAAGAAAAAGGTGTCGCCTTTTTCACCTCGCTAAACCTCCCCATCTTCTTTATTTCATCATCACCAACCAAGCTTTTACGAAAGAAGAAACCTTTCTGCTTTTTTCTTTCCCTTTCGTTATCTTCTTCTTTCACTAAAAGCATTACTTGCAAGGTATACAATTGTGTTAGATTTCGAAGATTTTGGAAGTGGGTCTTGAAAATCTTCTCTTGGTCTATCGAGACAGAGGCCTTTTGGTGGCTCTAAAGTTGACAGGGATATACACTATCAAGAAATCTGTAAGTGGGATTTTTTTCTTTACTTGTGTTGAGAAACAGAGAGAATTATAGGTAAGAAGAGAAAAAATGTGGGTTGTTTTTTAATGAAAGTTTGAAACTTTGAGGTCCCTTCAAAGTCCAATTGCACCCATGTTTTTTGGGTGTGATATGGATATTGCTTCAAAAGTTCTGATCTTTTTAAGGTGGCATTTCATGATCTCTAGATCATGGCCTCAAAATGGTCTTTACTAATTCAATCAATAAAAGCATTGCATACCCATAGATTTGCTATCATATATCTGTTCTGATTAATCTATCAAAACTCTTTACTTTATAGCCCCCAGATCCATTTCCTTGATGGATTCGCAAAACCCATGTGAGGGTGAAATCTCATTGAATCAATGGAAGGGAGGGAATTCAGTCAGGGAAGTGAGGCATGGATCAAGAGGGGGTGATTTAGAAATGTTGGGTTTGTCACAGAAAGAGATTGGTGATGATGATGCTAGATTGGTTTACTTGAATGAACCTGTAAAGAGTAATGAGAGATATGAGTTTTCTGGAAATTCGATTCGAACTAGTAAATATTCAGCCTTTTCATTTCTTCCGAGGAATTTGTTTCGACAGTTTCATAGAGTAGCATACATATATTTTCTTATCATTGCTGTGCTTAATCAGCTTCCCCAGCTGGCAGTTTTTGGCCGGGGAGCTTCCATAATGCCACTTGCATTTGTTCTGTCAGTCACAGCAGTCAAGGATGCTTATGAGGATTGGAGGAGGCATAGGTCGGATAGAGTTGAGAATAATAGATTAGCTTGGGTTTTAGTTGATGATCAGTTTCAACAAAAGAAATGGAAGGATATTCAGGTTGGCGAGATAATCAGGATTCAGACAAATGAAACTCTGCCTTGTGACATGGTCCTTCTCTCAACTAGTGAGCCAACTGGGGTTGCTTATGTGCAGACTGTAAATTTGGATGGAGAGTCGAATTTGAAGACTCGGTATGCAAAGCAAGAGACCCTTCCAAGAATTCCTGAAAAGGAAATGATTAATGGGTTGATTAAGTGTGAGAGGCCTAATAGAAACATATATGGATTTCAAGCAAACATGGAAATTGAGGGGAAAAGACTGTCACTTGGGCCCTCAAATATTCTTCTTCGTGGTTGTGAGCTCAAGAATACTGCTTGGGCAATTGGAGTTGCAGTATATTGCGGTCGTGAGACCAAGGCCATGCTTAACAGCTCAGGAGCTTCATCAAAGAGGAGCCAGCTTGAGACACTTATGAACTTCGAGACCATCATACTCTCGGTGTTCCTTATTGTTTTGTGTAGTATTGTTTCTATTTGCGCAGCTGTATGGTTAAGGCGCCGTAGGGATGAGTTAGATATCTTGCCTTTTTATAGGAGAAAGGACTTTGCACACGGGGATCCAAAGGATTTTAATTATTATGGATGGGGGCTGGAGATTTTTTTTACGTTCCTCATGTCTGTTATTGTATTCCAGATTATGATCCCTATTTCTTTGTACATTTCCATGGAGCTTGTCCGGGTTGGTCAAGCTTATTTCATGATTCGAGATATGATACTGTATGATGAGGACTCAAATTCAAGATTTCAGTGCCGGTCTTTAAATATAAATGAGGATTTAGGGCAAATAAAGTACGTATTCTCTGACAAAACTGGCACGCTTACTGAGAACAAGATGGAATTTCAACGTGCAAGCATATGGGGAGTAGATTACAGTGATGGGAGAACCAGTTCACAAAATGATCCTGTTCAAGGTAGCAAGAGTTTGTTATTTTAATTTTTTTTTTTTTTGGCATAGAACTCTCATCTCTTTCTTTTTTTTTCTTTTTTTTTTTCCATGTTTGGCAACAGTAGATGGGAAAATTTTGCAGCCAAAGATGAAGGTGAAGGTCGACCCTCAGCTTCTAGAGTTATCAAGAAGGGGAAAGGATACAAAGGGAGCCAAAAATGTTCACGATTTCTTCCTTGCATTGGCAGCCTGTAACACAATTGTGCCTCTTGTCGTTGATGACAGATTAGATTCTACAGTAAAGTTGTTGGATTACCAAGGGGAGTCTCCAGATGAACAAGCACTTGCTTATGCTGCTGCTGCATATGGTTTTATGCTGACAGAACGAACTTCTGGTCATATAATTATTAGTATTCAAGGAGAAAGACAAAGGTACCTTTTTTACTACAATTTTCTGGCTTTTGTTCTGCCAGCTTCTTTGACATGTTTGTACTACAATTTTAATGATAATTACCATAACTACTTCTGTCATTTCTAATATGATTGCATGCTAAGTTGTAAATTGCTTGGAGACAGATTGGTTACTAACTTTACAGTGGCAGCTCTGGGATTAGCATTAGGGAAGAATAGTTCATCTTAGATTGAAGACATGTATTCCGAAATGAATCAACTTATTTTGAAATCTATTAATATTTCCAGCTTTGAGAGAGAGAGAGAGAGAGAGAGGGGGGGGGGGGGGTTCACACAGAAATGTTTGCTGTTTGGATGAGAAGTCTTCTTCTTTTCTTCAATCCTCTTCACGAGAAGGATATTTCTGCAATATATGAAAACTACATGCTCTTTTATCCCCCCTAGTCTGTAGGTTATATGGATCATAATAGCAAGGAGAATGTGAACTGATGGTGGCTGCACTGCTTGGATTAGTTGGTCACTTGTTCCACTAATTGTTGTTGCAATGTTGAACCTCTTTCCATGAAAAATGGTTCTTACTCTTTCCATTTTTGTTGGACTATCCCATATTGGCAGTGCAGGTTCAATGTTTTGGGTTTGCATGAGTTTGATAGCGACCGGAAGAGGATGTCAGTCATATTGGGATGCCCTGATAAGACTGTGAAAGTCTTTGTAAAAGGCGCTGACACATCCATGTTTAGTGTGATAGATAGATCTCTGAACACCAACATTATACATGCAACTGAAGCCCATCTTCAGACTTACTCCTCAATGGGTTTGAGAACACTTGTTATTGGGATCCGTGAATTGAATAATTCAGAGTTTGAGCAGTGGCACCTAGAATTTGAGGCAGCTAGCACAGCTATAATTGGAAGGGCTGCTTTGCTTCGCAAGGTTGCTAGCAATGTCGAAAACAGTTTGACTATACTCGGTGCTTCTGCTATTGAAGATAAACTGCAACAAGGGGTGCCAGAAGCTATAGAATCTTTGAGGACAGCAGGGATTAAAGTATGGGTTTTAACTGGGGACAAGCAAGAAACTGCTATATCAATTGGCTACTCCTCAAAGCTCCTGACAAGCAAAATGACCTCAATCATAATCAATAGCAACTCTAAGGAGTCTTCTAGGAAGAGTTTAGAAGATGCCTTGGTTGCATCTAAGAAGCTCATGATTGTGTCTGGGACAACACACAATACTGGGCCAAGCGATGAGGCTGCTGTAAATCCAGTGGCATTAATTATTGATGGCACCAGCCTTGTCTATATACTTGACAGTGAACTTGAAGAGCAGGTATTTGCTTTTGAATTTACCTTCATTTCATGGCATCGGTTTTGTGCTGATGTAGTTTTATTCATTTTTGGCTGTAGCTCTTTGAATTAGCCAGTAGATGTTCTGTGGTTCTGTGTTGCCGAGTGGCTCCATTGCAAAAAGCTGGAATTGTTTCCCTTGTGAAGAACAGGACTCGTGACATGACACTCTCCATTGGAGATGGTGATCTCGCAACTTATGTTAGATCAATAGCTTTATGCTTCCCTGAACCAAAACTTTGGGGAGCATAAGGAAATACATTGTCTGCTCTCTCATTGGTGTTTTATTCTGATTTTGGAAAATTTTTCTGGATGTTTCCAGGCGCAAATGATGTCTCAATGATCCAAATGGCCGATGTTGGAGTTGGCATTAGTGGGCGAGAGGGTCAGCAAGCGGTGATGGCATCAGATTTTGCAATGGGGCAATTCAGATTCTTAGTTCCACTTTTATTGGTCCATGGACATTGGAATTACCAGCGGATGGGATATATGATACTGTATAATTTTTACAGGAATGCAGTTTTTGTTCTTATTTTATTTTGGTGAGTAATACTTGCATTGTTTCTTTCACATGCAAGTTTATCCTATATGTGAATATGCTATCTAATGGTAAAATTGTTGGAAGTTTGACCAGCCCTCACTTAGTTCTTTGCCTTATCCTGAACTTTCTCTTTAGCTATGTGCTTTATTCAAGAAAGCTTTATGTTTTCCCTTCTCCTTTGCTTCTTTGAAATGAGAAGAAAAGGAAAAGGGTTCCTTGCATAGCTTTCTGCAGTAGAATAGCCGTCTCTCATTAATTGGGGAAGTGAACTTTTCCAAATCAGAAGCTGACTGGGTGCAGCTAGTTGAAAATTTTATCCCTTCATCCTTTGTCCTTAATGATCATTGAAACATCTCTTATGGAACTCTCATCAGATTGTAGTTAAATTAGGATCTCTGGTTATTTTGCAGACAGTGTTCAGAAACACAGTATGCTCCTATTTAACTTGAAATTTATGTGACATTATTGCCTGCTCATTAACACGTTTGTTGATATTTTGTTGCTCCCTGCATAGGTATGTACTCTTTACTTCTTTCTCTTTGACGACTGCAATCACTGAGTGGAGCAGCATGTTATATTCTATTATTTACACAGCATTGCCTACCATTGTTGTTGGTATTCTTGACAAGGACCTAAGTAGAAGGACTCTGTTAAAGTATCCCCAGCTTTACGGAGCAGGGCACAGACGAGAGGCCTACAACTCTAAGTTGTTTTGGCTAACAATGATTGACACCTTGTGGCAAAGTGTGGCTGTCTTTTTCATCCCTCTCTATGCATATTGGGCTAGCACCATTGATGGGTCAAGTATTGGGGATCTGTGGACACTTGCAGTGGTCATTTTAGTTAATTTGCACTTGGCCATGGATATCATCCGGTGGAGCTGGATTTCTCATGCAGTTATCTGGGGATCTATAATTGCAACTTTCATTTGTGTCATTATCATTGATTCTGTGCCTATTTTTGCTGGTTACTGGTATGCGCTCTTTCTCTGTCTTATTGATCAGTTGTTGGATCTGTTCATAAACACAACGCATACCTTTGAATATGCTCATTTATTTCTTGACCATCATTTTGTTTTGGACATTAATTTAGCCCGGAGATAAATCATCGTTTAACATTTGTTGTCAAAACATGTGTATCGAAAAGAAGATTCTTGGTTCAAATGTTTTGCATAAAACCATTTGAAAACTCCATTTAAGCATTTAGATTGAGAAACACTTGCATGTTATTCATGTCTATATAACAACTAACGTTTGCAATCCAATGTCACATGACAGGGCCATCTTCCATGTTGCGAAGACAGAACTGTTTTGGTTGTGCTTACTCGCTATCGTTGCAGCAGCCCTGATCCCTCGATTTGTTGTAAAATTTCTGTATCAATACTATAGTCCTTGCGATATTCAGATAGCAAGAGAAGCTGAGAAGTTTGGGAGTCCAAGGGAGTCGCCAAATACAAAAATAGAAACTAACCCTATATTGGGATCTCCACATGGATGATAGGATCATCTACCTTTTCTTCTTGTATAAAAAAGTGATTTTCTTTAGGTTTTGTAAGTGTAATAATCACTATAGATTCCTGAATTTTCATTGTTTGCTATCCGAAGGATAGAGGTTGTAGTAGTTTAGATTTGTGTTGTATCCCATGAAATTTGTTGTGTAATTAGCATTGTTTACAGCAGAAAGAAAGTTCAATGTACAAGGAATTTTACCACAAATGGATTTCATATGAGCTTTGAAATTTCAATTTTTTTCTTCCCTTGATATTCTTGGATGAGTTTCTTTTTTAATGTATCTAGATTGCAAATAGATAATTCCTTGTGAAATGTGAACCCATTAGTTTTGCATGTATGACTTCCTTTGTTATTAGACTTACAGAGATGTATTTGCCTAGAGTAAAATATAAATTAGTCCTCCTAGTTTTGAAAAATGAATTAAAATTAGTTTTTCTTATTTTAAAAATTAATTTTACTCTATTATTTTAATTTTTTGTTTGGGTGTAATTTCAACCATTTTGTATCTTTTTAATTTGTTTGGATTTTTTGTTTTAAGAAATAAAAAAAGAGAAAAATAAGTAAAAAAATATGAAAGAATTTATGAGAAAAAATAATATTTTTCAAGATAAAATGATATTAAATTAAGTACGGTCAACATTGGTTAAGAGATAAAATAATTAGTTTTTAAAGCAAAAAAGACTAATTAATTTGGTTTTAAAAAATAGAGGAACTAGTTTATAATTTACTCATTTAGCTTAAGATAAAATGGTTTGGCTAAGTTTTAGCAATTTCAAAAAAAATCTTTTAAAACTGATATTTGGTTGAATCTAATTATGGGGACTTCAATCCGAATAAGACATTTTGCTGCTTTTCAAATAAAAGATTTTCTTTTAAAAAATAAATAATATTTAAATCAGATATATTCATGCAAACATGACCATATTTCTAATTTTATACAATAATATAGTTGCAAAGATTTCCATTAAAATTAAAAGTAATTTTCTATAAACTAAGTTATCATTACTTCTGCACATATATCGTTAAATAATTTGTTATTTATTATTATTATTTCACTAATTCGACTAAGAGAAAACAACGCGAATCACGTGACGAGCACGTGACATAACGACTAGTTCGTGGAAATATAGGAAGTAGATACAGTTAAGAACACTAGACATTTGGTTCTTGCTTGTTCTGGAAATCCTCTATGCAGGATGATTCCTGAACTTGTGCTGCAAACTGCAAGTTCCAGAGGACATCCTCAACTGATGGTCTGTCAGATGGCACATTGGAAAGACATCTAATGCATATCTCCATCACCGTCTTCAAAGATTCATCTGAGCATTCCTTGTGAACTGCTGGATCAACAAGGTTCCTTCGAGCAACATCGTCATCAACTGTCATGCTTACTTGTAACTGTGCAAGAATCATAAGTGAATTGATAGCATTATTTTTCAGACATCACAAACCTAGGATCAGTGGAGGTGTAGTGCAGATACAGAGGTATAACTGTAAGTACTAACCAGATCTTTTGAGACAATGACTTCATTTTCGGACATCACTGTCCTTCCAACAACGATTTCAAGTAGGATTACTCCCAAGTCATAGATGTCTTTCTTACCCTCATCTCTGTCCCTGCATTTGTCGAAAAAGATCAGCAATGGATTTAGTTTTTCAATGACTAAGAACAAAGTACTGATCATGATTTGAGCTTGAAAGGAATTCACCACAAACCTTGTCCCCAGAATTTGTTTTGGTCCAGGAAAAGAAACTGCAGAACCCACCTGAAAGGAGAAAAAAGCATGAGCACAGCATATTTTCGCGCAGAAAAAAAATTCAGGATTGGTCTGTTTGTTGTTTGGTCATTACGGATACCTGATATTCAGTCAACAGTGGCAGGTTATAGGTACAGAGTTTCACAAGCAGATCATGGTCTAATAAAACATCTGTTATCTTCAGATTGTTCGTAAATACACCAGGGACAATCCCTGTGTTCAGGAATTGGATACCCCTTGCAACTCCAATAGCAGCTCCTATTCTTTGCGGCCAAGACAGCTTTTTGGCTGGAATTCCTACCGAACAAAGTGCTGAAATCATGAGAATGTGATTGCAAAGAGTATCATCCTTTGTAACTCAGATGCTATGGACAATCATTTTACCAGAGATGTAGTCTCTTAGTGTCCCATTTGGGACATACTCAAATATATGGAATATTTGGCTGGTGCTGGAATAATCCTGACAGCAATCAAAGCAGTGTCCAAGAGAACTGATCAAATGGCCATGTCTGAGTTTTGAAATCAACTCAATATGGTGGGTAAAGTTATGTTGGCTGATCTTTTTCCTGGCTCTTAAGCTTCTAATAGCGACAAGAGTCCCGTCGTTGAGCTTTCCTTTATAAACCTGATACCATATTGTAACAGGTTAAGAAAATGTATGCAACTAATGCTATGAAGATGGCTGATTAGGGAGAGTATAATGAAAAAGGAGTGGTTTGGTTCCATTTCTGAACTATTTAAGTAGCAGAAGTTTAAGCATGCGGAACCGCGTACCTGACTGTTTGAACCTTGAACAAGTAAATTTGAGGCATCAAAGTTATACGTTGCCTCCTTGAGCTCCTCCAGAGAAAAGGTTCTATAAGCAGGAAGGCTAGCTCCAAGCTTCATTGTTCGTGATATATACCCTATCAAAGCAAAAAACAACAGCAGGCATTAAACTTGCCATGTCCACAAGCAAGGAAAGATTTAAAGACCTGGACAATCTCCTAAAATCACATGCCTAGTACGAGAGTCATGAATTGGAAAACTACCAAAAAATGGAAGAAAAATTGTCTCTGCCAAACCTAACCATTAGAAGAAATTTAGAGCTTACTTGCATCAGAAAGAAGTTTTACTGTGTTCACTGTTGACCCAATCTCCAGAATTGACCTTGTTTGGGGTTTTTTCACATCATCCTGACCATAAACCCTCCTGGCAAACAAGAAAACCAAGCCAACAATTGCAATTCCTCCAACAGATCCTCCTATAGTACTTGATGCGAGAACTCCCTTATCATGTCTCCTATGCTTACCCTCATCTCGAGGCAAGATTTTCACAGCTAGTGCTTCATTGTGACAGAAGTAGGATGGATGCTGCTCTTGTTCTTTGTCTGACAAGCAATTGCCAGAACACAAGACAAGTCTGCTCTCGGAACTCAAGTTTAGGCAAGTAGGTAAGTCTCCAGTCAAAAGATTTGAGGACAAATCTACATAGGCAAGTTCAGCATTGCAGGACATATTTTCGAAAAGCATTCCTGTAAATTTGTTATGTGAAATATCAAGATAATTGATTGAAGGGATTGAGAACAAAGATGGAGAAAATGGTCCTACGAATGCATTAAAGGAGATGTCCAGCTTCTGCAGATGATAGTAGGTGACTAATTCAGCAGGTATGCCAGATAGAAAGCTATTATTTCTTAGAACAAGAGTCACCAACTTGTTGTGCAAATCTGGAAAATGGGGTCCGAAGTGATTGTCTTCCAACTCAAGAACTTGAAGGTTAGTCAAGCTATGAAGATCGGGCACTTGCCCATACAAGTGATTCTTTGAGAGAGACAAAATTCTTAGACTTTCCAATCTTGTCAGAGAATTTGGCAGATACCCACTAAGGGAATTGTTCTTCAAGCTCAACACAGCCAAAACCGGAAGTAAACCTAGCCAACCAGGAACCTCACCAGTGAACTTGTTATGGTCCAGAATCAGTGTCTGAAGGCTCCTCAAAGATGAAAAAGATACTGGAATTGAACCACTGAAGTAGTTTGAACTTGCATTAAATATCTCAAGCGAAGATAAATGACCAATACTTTCAGGAAGCGGCCCCCATAAGCCAAGAGAAACCAAAGACAGGACCTTCAAGCTAGATAAACCAGCAACAGCGGCAAAGAAAGAGTCTGAGGAGAAATCTGGAGAAACCCCACTATTTCCTATAATCTGAAGCTGTGTTATAACCCCTTCATAGCACACTAGAGTTAGAGATGGAGTTGGTTCGATGTTGCAGAAATCTGTGGTGTTGCTAAAGCTGCTTAAGAAAGCTGGGTAGTTAAGAAGCTGCTGGATTCTCAGAAGGGACTGAACCTGAAAGGGTTGCAGCTGGCTTGAATGATCAAGAGAAATGAAAAGAATCAAGAAAAGAAGATGGTAAGGATAGTGAACTGGTTTTGCCATCAAAATCATCAAATGCAGAAGTAGTTTTTGAAAAGAATTTTACGAGGGTTTAAAGAAATGATTGGCTGATTGCAATAGCTTCTTCTACAAAATTATAGTCAGATTTTGTACTCTTCCTGCTGGAATTTAGACCAGCTTCTTGCTTCTTTCTTAGTCCTAAAGAAACCATGAAGATTAAGACCTTTAACCACAAGACAAGCAGAGTTAGGTACCTTAATTAAACATAAAACAATAGCCTGAAAAGCTTGCATTACAGATTCGGCAATTCAGATTTTCAAAACAGCATAAAAACAAAGTGCACAAAAAAACATAATGTAGTAAGAAACATCTGTCATTGTATCAGAAATTGGCACATCATACCACAAATAATAAAGTACCTCGATATTCTTGCATTCTTTTCAAGGGAGTAAATTATAAATCAGTCCCTCTTGTTTAGAAAAATGAATTAATTAGTCTCCTTCCTTTCAATAGCTAATCATTTAGTCCTTTATTTTTTAATTTTATCAATAACTTAGTCCTTTAGTCGATTAGTCGATTTTCTATTAGATTAGTGAGTTTTATTCTTAAATTGCCTTCCAATTGGTTTTTGCTTGAGAAGAAAGACAGAAAATGAGCGAAAAAGAAAAATAAGGTATAAAAAAGGGACAATTTAGAAAAATCAATAAATAATTTAACGAAAAATTGATGAAAAAACTAAGTTATTAACGAAATGTAAAGTACTAAATAATTAGTTTTTAAAATAAAAAAATTAATTAATTTTGTTTTTTGAAACGAGAGGCATTAATTTATAATTTACTCTTTTATAAGGATGTAACATTTGTTTTATCAACGGTTAGCATTGGTCATGTTTTTTCAGTTCATGTTGAGGGTTGAAAATTGTCAGGACAACTAAATTATTGAGTACAAAATGTTTATATATATATATATATATATATATATATATATATATATATATATATATTATTACATAACAATGGTTAGGGAATCATGGGATTAGATCTTGCTTCCAAAGAGGCCAATGTTGATTTTCTCTATATTATAATAATAATAATATATTAAAACAAAAAAATGTAGTGGATAGATGACGATGAATTTACAAAAAAAATCATTTTTTTTGTAAACAATCTTCATTAAAGGATAAAGATTCATTTATCTTTTGTCACACTCCTTTCTACCATGTTTTTTTTAACTAATTTTATTATTAAATATATATTAAATGTCTAATTTATATTTTTTTTCATGAATTTCAAACGAAATTACCGAAATTAATCACATGATAATTTTTACATCAATTTTCGATAATTTTGGATGGTTTTTATATCCCAAATCAACATAACAAAGAAAGAAAAAGTGGGATTGAAACTTTGATTTGGCTGGTAGGCATAAAACAATGACATGACAACAAAAAAGGCAATTTAGACAGATGATTTATGATCACAGAACAAGAAGACAAGTGCATGTGAATCCACAATGTCTCACGGGAACCTTAGGCTGAGCTGAAGGCGACAAAAAAAAAAAAAAAAAAAAAAAAAAAAAAAAAAACATAAAAGTGATTTCCATAAGAAAACGGTGTTTCACTTATATCCCTGTAGTTTAAAACTTCTTCAAGGTTACATCTACAACTTTTGAAAGTTTCAATTTTTCCCTTTACTTAACAAAAAGCTCACTTTTTTCATATTTGCAATTTTTCTTCCCATTTTCCTGTCAAATCCCATACATGTTGAACCATCTCACAAAAAAAACCTTAAAACAAAGCAAACCTATGGAAACTACCGAGGTAAATTGAGAAATTTTAAACTATAGGGATAGAAATGAAACAAAGAAGAATCTATAGAGACAAAACAGTAGTTTACCCAAAACGAAACAAAACAAAGGTAAAGCGTAATGTGCCCATGCCTTTTCACATCATTGGAATTATTGTACAAAATTTTATGCATGGAAGTGAAAGAACTTAGATTTAAGCAAAAAATTTATGGCATTGACAAGAGTTGATAGGGAAAAAATGTCACGGATGGGATTTTTGGCTGGAAGGGCATTTTGTGAACTTGTGGAAGCATCATTTCAATGACTGAGCCTCAATATTTCTGGGTTTTAAGTCTAAAATTTAAGGAAACATCGGCACAATCTCTGGTTTAAATTGGACCGAGACCTAGTAAGGCCATGAATTCATATAACATGTACAAATCTCTGCTACCATACTTTCAATCTTCAAGCAAGTATCGGTTTCTTCGTGCACCGAAGGCAAATCTCTGCTAACAGGGAAAAGTGCAAGCAGAAGAATTGATCAGAACCAATAACAAAACTCAAGTGATATAAGATGGCGCAGTTTCAAGAGTTCTCTAACAGAACAGAAAATAGTAGGGTTTCACTTAACTGAGAATATCTGCGAGTATGCTTTCACCCCGGTGAGGAAACGGATATAAGTGGGTTTCGTTGTACCATTGGCAGGGATGGATCTGATGTTTGGAACAAGGTATTCTGCAACCTACGACAACCCAAAACATCTTAATCAATGATCCACAAAAAGTGTCCCCCCTCTCTTTTCTTATGATGCAAGCACTTCCCTGGTGAACTTACATGCATAACCATTTCAATCTAGATTGAATATACATCATCGTAATTACTAACAGTTAATGATTATGTGGTTCTGTAAACTGTGAAACACCAGCTCTTCGAATGACAACCTGGTAAACGAAATCTTACCACTTCTGCTGGTTCTGCCAAAACATTAATGAAAAACTTTGCCTGCAATAAATAAAATTCGGTCATTCAATTAGAAGCCCACAGAAGACAGACTCCAAAAGTAGATGATCTGTTATTCTGACCTGCTTCGTGGTAGCTCCAGACATGAGAAGATCCGTTGTGACCATTCCAGGCTGCAAACACAACGCCAAGAAAACAAAGAAACTAAGAAAAGCTGTTGATGATGATGGCATCATCTATGAAAGCAATAGCAATGTTGATATCGCAGCCGATATTAAGGGAAAAGGATCACACACGTATTCTTCTATTTACTTTTTTCTAAAAAGTGGTGTTTGACATAACAAGGTGCAGCCTGTACATAGTGAACTCAAAAGGAAGTAACTAAAAATAATGCAAGCATACCGACAGGGTATGCACCACAACATTTTGAACATCTTGCATCTGCAACTCAGCCTGTGCCATAAAAAAAAAAAAAAAACATATTTGTTGTAACTCTCTTACATGATAAGCTGCTTAAAGAGAAAAATTTGGAATCATAAAATAACTGACGATTGCTCCGAATACTCAATCCAAAGTTAAAACAAAAGCAATCGTCAATGGTTTGACATCTTGTACGGTACTGTCTGCAAATTGTAGGAATAGAATTTGCCATCATATGGTTCCATGAACGATGCCTAAAGGCTGGTATAAAAAGATTAAGTGAACCGAAAGAAATTGTGATGCCATATGTTGAGATGGAAAACACTGTTCTGACATATTCTTAATGTACTTGAATAACACTTGACAAAGCAAGTTGAGTGTGCACCTGTAAGGATTTTGTTAAGTGCACCACACTGCGCTTAGTTGCCCCATATGCAGCAAATCTGTGACAAAAGGAAAACGGAGAGATACGATGAATATTCGATTGGCAAATTAACATCATGAACAGGATGTGCACAAAGTAGTCTATTTTGTCAATGGAAATTGACTTAGAAACAAAGAATGACTTTAGCAAATCTAATTAAAGCTCAAGAAAACTGGAAAGTGGTACCTTGGGGTTGGTCTTCCATCTGAACCAGCTCCATCAATGTTGAATATATGACCTCCCCGAGGTTGGTTCAACATCATTTTTATTGCCTTGACAATTATCATGTATAAGAAATAGGCCTGAAAGTGCCAGTCAAGGACAAAGAGAACACTTTTACCTCTCGACAACAAATCATCAAACCAAGGGTGTTTGTAGTGACAACTTCTCTGCACAAAAGTAAACAGAACAAACAACTTTAAGCACTGCAAGATCGCAGCAAAGAAGAAGAATTAAAACAGGAAAAGAAAGGATAAAAAGGAAAGAAGAAGAAGAAGAAACAAAAATTTCAAAAGCTCACATAAGATCTTCATCCGAAGCTTCTGCCAGGGGCTTATAACTATATGCATTGGATCCTGCATTATTAATCTGCATCATTAACATGAGGTGAGAGAGTAACAGCAGAGCTAAGCATTTGTCAAGAACAAAATCTTAGCATCAGTTAGGCTAGCTGAACGAGAAGCATAAATATGAACTTTCTCATGAATTTTTAGTAAACCAGACCATGAAGCTATCTATGACTCTTAGCTAGCCCCGTCAATACACCATATCATTATCCCTATGAGTTTCCAACACTGATCACAGGTCTTTCACCAACAAGAACAACTTTTTCCCACAGCATCACAAAAAGAAACGTCCTTTAACCAACTTTCCAGCAGAGCAACCATCCAACAATAAACCGTTTATCAATTCCAATAGAGCATTTGTCTAGCTAAAACAATTAGAAAGCATAAAGAAGCTGGGAGTGATTTGCAATAAATAAATACCCATATATCAATGTATTTGAGGCTTTCTTGCGCAAATGCAACCAGATCCTTCACGTCCTTTCCTTCTCTAACATCACACTTTGTACCCTGTAAAAGAGGAGCCAATTCATATCCAGAAGTATAGACAGCTGATCAAGGAAAACAATCTTAAGGGAAGATAATTACACAGAAAAAATTTAAAAAAACAAAAAAAGATATGGGGGGAAAGAGTTGTGGAGGAGGTACCCAAACACGCTGCTCTCCAAATTCTTCTCTCAGGCTCTGAACAGCAGACTCCACCCGTTCCGCTGTCGCAGATTTCAGTCAACAACAGTAAAAACAAGCTATTCGGCACATTCATTACAAGCCTCCTATACTTACAAGATATTGACTCAAAAAGTCAAGTCTTACTATTTCAAGCCTTTAGGTCAAGGGTAAGACCTTTGCCAAGTTAGATATACTCAGGTTCCATGAACTTGATTGTGAGACAACCATAGTTAGGGTTTGTCAAAACTACGAGTTATATGTCTGAAAAACTTCAACATGTGTACCAAAGTAGGTACTTACCTGACCTTGAGCAAATTATCACTTTGTCACCTGCCTTTAGAAACTCCTGAGCCAATGCATACCCTATTCCTGAATTAAAAGCATGAACAAACTATATTCACATAAAGAACCAACCAACATAAGAAACTGAGACATTATACAAAACAAAACATCCAAAAACTGATAAAAATTCAACAATTCCCATTTCACACGCAGAACAAAAGCCATTCTTTGACTAAAGGCTGCATTTTCTCGCAAAGAAAACCAAGAAAATGAGCCAAACAAAGTCTACCTCAATTTGCAGCAAAACCCACAAAAAATACTCAAGAAATCCAACAAAAGGGCACAGAATTAACCAACAAAACCAATCCCAGAAACCATAGGAATAACCACAAACTGATAAAACAAGAATTAGAGAAGCAAGACGAGGAAGAACCTTTGGTTGAACCAGTGATTAAGACATTGTAAGGAGGCAACATGGGCTCTCTACTATTTACAGAAGAAGAAGAGTTTTGTGCCTTCACATATACTGGAGAATTCAAATATGCAATGCCTGTGTTAGTGTAATTACTGTTTCTAGCATTAGTGCTTTTTGTTGGGTTATGGGGAGAAGAAACGGTCAAGAAAAGGTGTGAAGGAGAGAGAAGTGTAGGGAATTGAGAGGAATAAGAAGAAGTCTTGAGAAGAGAAGAAGGAGGCGAGGGAAGACAAGCACAAGGAACAGCCATTGGTGGAAGTGCATTGTCAGAGGGAGGCTTTAAGCCTTTTATAGTAGATAAATACTAACTGTATCTGGACAGAGTGAGGACAAAACTCGAGTAAATTACAAATTAATCCCTCCTGTTTCAAGAAACCAATTAATTAATTCTTCTTGTTTCAAAAATTAATTACATAATTCCTATATTTTTAAAATTTCTTGTAATTTAATTTTCTTTGATTTTTTAAATAATTTATTTCAATTTTCAATTTTATAAAAATGTAGAAAAAGTAAAACATATGGAAGGAAATTGATAAAAAAAAATAACATTTTATGAAATAAAATATGATTAACACTTGTTGATGGACTAAATAATTAGATTTTAAACTAAGAGAAACTAATTAATCCATCACCTGAAAATAAAGGGACTAATTTATGATTTCTTGACAAAACCCAGAACTTACATTTTTTTTTTTTTACAGAAAGTAAAATAAATAAATAAATAAATTGTATTTATACCAATGCTTATACAACAATCATTTTTTTTTAGCAACCAGACTAAATTTTTTAATTTTAATTTTATTTTTTATCATCACAATATGGGCATTCTTGAACAATTAAAAATTGTACCTTTTCCAATTTATTATTATTTTTTTTGAAAAAAAAACCAAGTTCAATGTTAAATCTGGGCTTGGCTGATGAAAATTCTTCTAAGTTGACATATTGTTTAGTTGGGCTATACCTCAAAATGGGCCCACCTCAACATTGACCCATTTTCCTACAACGAGAAATTTGTAAGCCTGCACTCAACAAGAAGCTCTCTGAATCCTTTCTTTCTTCTTCTTCTCCTCCTTTTTTTTTTTTTTTTAATTGAAGAACTATAATATAAAAAATATATAAAGTGTTTATACAAAATTACAATTGAAAAAAAAACCATAAAAAGTTAGAATCGAGAAAGATTCAGCTATCTATGGGTTCTCAAGACCATAAAAAACTTGAGAATTGCCAACAAATTTTACAACATTTTAAGATGCGTAGAAACAATGGTAGGTATCTTGGCTAGATATAATATTGTCTCATCTACATCTCTATCATTCATTCCTCTAACCCGCAACTCAACTCAATAACCTCCCTGGCTCCACCTATATGTTTTTACATTATTACTGGTCCATGAGAAAAGAATAATTTCTTCTACAATGGCACAACACAAATTCAAGAATGATTGTATGTTGGGTGTTTCCCCTTCTCTTGGTTCCTGGAAAGCCATGAAGAAACTGGTTTTCAGCAGAATCCATCGTCAACCAGAGCGACGCTTTGATCTACGACGTTTTCCAAGAAGTTTCAGCATGTTGTCAGTGACATCAGGTTGGGAGTTATCGTGCTCATTTTGATTGTTGTCAGAGGTGTGAGTTAACCAGGCCAGTGCCTCAATAGCAGCATCCCTCTCTGCTAGTTGCTTGTTTTTCTTGGGTTTCCCCACAAACTGCATTCCCTTGAATTCAACCAGTGCCCTAAACTCATTCGTTTTAAGGTGCTTCGTCTTGTATTTTGGAGGGGAGTGTCCAGCTCTCATCAGTAGAGTTTGGAGCAAACTTTTTGGATTTGCTCCATCTTTTGTAAATCTGTCGTTATCATTAGTTACCCTGGGCTTCCTGCTTTCACGACCAAACACAAATCTTCCTTCACATTGATCTCCTGATACCAGCTCTTGAACAGCAAGCATGAGGTATTTTCCTTCCTTGAGTATGTCAAGGTTAGGATCCTGAAGCTGCATCATCAATCAATGGAACAGATATTATTAAATAAAACCTTTTTTCAGGTTTCAGGTAGATAGTTATGTCAAATGACAATGGTGAAAGAAGTGCAACTACGTTACTGCATCCTGGATTGGCAAAATCTGAAAGGGGGGAAACATGGTCGAAAGGATTTAAGAAACGTATAGATGATACGTGTACAGTAATTTAACTTCAGCATGAGCATAAACTCTAATAGCTTGATAATATCAATCGTTTAACAAGCATAGAACTAAGAGGTGTGATTTTTTTAGTAATGGAAGGTGGCACCTAGGAAGATAAGAAAATCGGATTATGTATGGCTAGTTGACAGATGGAACATAAATTTACTTTTTTCTATATAGTAATGAGCTTTTCCAACTCACCTTCTTCTCAAGAAGCTTATCAAGTTCTTCTTTAAGCTTCAAAAAGCACTCAGCCAAATTATGATCCATGAAGAAATCAATATATCCGTCCAACATTTTCAGATGCCCAGCCTGAGCACAAGAAAATTACTGATTATTAAAACTCTGCAAGTCCAATAGGCAAAAAGGCATCATAAGTATCTATAGAAAGATTAAAAATTACCTGTACCCCAAAAGCAAGGGCTCCACCAAAAAGGATCAGTATTGAATCAGATACACCAGTGGAATCACGTATAAAAACCGAGTTGACCTTTACTTTTTCACCAAAGACCAGCCATGGATAGGGAATTGTCTCATGGCGTGCATTGACAGAATTCTGAAGCAGAACCATCATCGTTATCAAATACTATTAAGGAGAATATAAGAAACTTTTACAACATGATGACAATCACGATTGTAGCAAAGTGAGCATCCTAGCTAGAGAACTCAAACTCAGAATTTATGCATCAAAGCATGCATAATAACTTAAGATAAAAAGGTCTAGTTCAGGGCAACAGTTTCAGTTTTACACTTACATAATATAGAAAAACTTGGCCATCATCCATTGTTTTGAAAGACATGGATGTTTCTCTGTGCTGTACATGAAGAAGAAGGAGCAAATACGTCAGCTATCAAATTTCATGATGAAACAGAGGATGTGCATTTGAAGCAGGGAAACATTACCACTACTGATGCAATTCCGGGATAGAGGCCAGAGCATATAATTGCACGAACCAATGATTGGTTGTGACTTAATTTGTTGTTTCTGCTTGCCTCTTCTTCTATTAAGCCGGCATCTTTTAAAATGAAGTTAAACTGCTTCCTCAGAGAATTAATGGCCTGCAAGGTTTGTGCAGATAGGAAATTTCTCCAGCAATACTCATAGGCCGAACCTTCTCTTTCAGCTTCTTTCCATCCTTCATATGCACGTACAAGAGCCATGTGATCACTGTAGTCCTTAGCAGAAAATCTAGACTTTGCTGTCCCAGCTAACTAAACCAAAGATAGACTAGTTCAGCAGAAAATAAAGTCAAAGTAGGAAATTTAGAATTTGGGAGTATAAAACTCAAACATACAGGAAAATGCTCCAAATGCAGATTTATACAGCTTCAAAGGTACATTAATCAATAACAAGATCAGTGGAGGCAAAGAAGATACTTAATGCACTGGACTTACATCCTTTTTGTCCTGTGGCAGAAGAAAAGGATCCCTGACACTGAGCCCAGACACTATTGTTAATACAGGATCAAAGCACCGAAAGATAGCACCCATTATTAACATTTTGCCCAGCTTGGGATCTACAGGAAGCATTGTCAAGTACTTCCCTGATTGAAAGGAAAAACAAGAAGAGAAGAAGTTTGATAATTAGGAAAAGAACATCACTAAGAAAAACAATATAAATAGTAGAGTTCTTCTCATCTGCAAAAATTAGCGAACTGACCAAGATTTGTCAGATTCTCCTTCTCGTCTAATGCTCCAATCATCTTCAGAAAATCAATGGCATTTTGGACCTGTCATCCATTGAACTTGTCAATTTGTGCAGTGGACTAAGAAATGAGGTTGAAAATTATTGCGTCATTGAGACTTATAAAATTACAAAATGGAGAAGTGGAAGCCCTTAAGATATGCATGCAGCTCGCATGATCTGTGGCAGTGTGTATTGATTAGTTTATGCATGAAAGGCCATGGATGATAAATTATAATAGGAAAGCAATGCCATCCATTTTCCCCTTGTACATTTCACTGATGATTTACACATGTTCTTGTTAATGGATTACTTTCTACAACAATCATAGACAGACACCAGTAAACATCTTCTGCAATGATTATAGGATCAGAAACCAGGCGTTAAACAATTTACACGTGAAATTTTTAAGTAAAAAATCAGGTGATACAAAAAAAGGTTGGTTGGGTAAGCAAATGTAGTTGAGGAAACTAAATGTGAGCAACAATTAATCAATTGCAGTACGACATCCCCTATAGGGAGATGCTGTCATCCGTTGCAAGAGGTCTCCCTTGGTAGACCCCCTGTACTTGAACTTTATTCTAACTCTTAAAGGTAGGCTAAATAAGTTTCAAAGCAGAAATATAGGCCAGCACTCATGGGTTAACATGGAACTAGAAAAATGTTCTATCACAACACTTACAGCCAATGGTTTTGGTGGCTGGAGAGCAGCTGACAAGAATTCCCCTATGCTTCCAACCTGCAAACTCTTTATTTGCAAGCAAAGAGAGTTCAGGGGAGTCCGCAAAAGTTCAGGAAGTTGATATTCGGAAAAAGCTTCATATACACTTCTTGGGTATAGATGATAACATTCCCCTGGCTGCACTCGGCCAGCCCTACCCTTTCTCTGCAACACACGTATAGCCAAAGAAGAACATGTCATGTATGAAAAGGGACCAAGAAAAAAGCATAGATCAAGATGAAGCACAGAAGACTGTAACAGATTCCAATGAAAATCACAATTACTCCAGTCAGGCATGCTACCATGTGTCAACAGTGCATCTTAACATTGGTGATACAATCCCAGGCTGCACCAACCCTCAAGCATAACCAACTATGTTTCCAGTCAAAAGAATACAGCCAATACCATATAAACAGGCATTCCATACACACTCAATAGAAAAGAGAGATCAAATCTAGAGATCTTTATGTGTTAAGGACCTCAGAAATGCTCAAAGCACGAATGTTATATTAAAAAAAGAGACTTGCATAAAAGTTTTATTCCATTTTACAGTTTGAAGCATGCAATTTGGCAATAAACTTGAAAGAACAAATCCAAATGATGCCAAAGCAAGCTTACTTGTCGTGCAGATGCTTTTGATATCCAAGAAGGAAGCAGACAAGGTGTATTGTTTAAAGCATCATAAGTGGTCTCTTTTGCCTTCCCACAATCAACGACAAAAACTATATCATTGATTGTAATACTTGCCTCTGCCATATTTGTTGCAAGAACTATTTTACGTATATTAGGATGAGGTTTCTCAAATATCAGTTTCTGCATAGAGTAAGAGAGAAGATATTAAGTAACATGACATGAAATCAATACACCAAATGACATGCAGAGCATGACCTACAACACTGTTGCATCCTCATCTTGACTATAGTTGTTTAACCACCTACTGTTATACTCTTTTCTCACCTGGAAGGTTAATGATCTGATAATTGCATATGGTAAACACTAAATATGAATGGCTACATGTTTCTGGCACTCCAATTTTTCAGTGCGAAGTTCCTATAACTTCATGGATTATAACCACTTCTGACGCTCACATGGTCCACTGCACCAGTATTTATATTTAACTAGAACAGGTGCCACAAAGTGTCAGATCTGCATTAAGTTGCTTGCTCAATGAGTTAGACTTAGAGAAGAGAAATGTCCCTTCCAAGAAGATATTACCACTTATTCTAGCATCCAGATATGTCTAACCTCAACCAGAACAGGGGAGGGTTTTAGAATTTTATTCCATTCAAATAACCTTACAAGATCATTATTAACATAAAAATTATAAGATTACCTGTTCAGAGGTTGCCATAGAACCATGGCAAGTTACAAGCATAACTCTGTTAGGATCACCCAGAAGAGGATGAGCTTTAACTTGATCCCTCAAAGAGCTAATATCCTCCCAACCAGTCATGAATACCAAGACAGCACCTGGTCTTTCCTTCCGACATATATGGCACAAAACTGCTTCAATAAGGTTAAATCCTATGCAATCAGGCATCCAGCATGCCAGAGAGTCTCGTGCTCTGGAACTATAATTCTCGAAACTTGATTTATTAAGAGCATCCTGTCAACAAACAACAAGAACCACAATTTAAAAATAAAATAGAATTTGCATGTGCTGTAGAGAGAGTGCTGAAGAAAAGATCAAATGACATTTTTCTTGTGAGGGGTAATACCAAGAAAAAAATTGAACAGCACAATAGTTTCTCCATGACAAAGTGTTCGAGGCACTAAAAATATCCTAATATTCCAATATGTGCTATTGAGATGCAAAGTTGATTGTGAAATCAAACATCACCAAGGCCAGAAAACACAACGGAAAGAAAGGAGAGGGGGTATATTTAGCAACAGTCTCACAAGAATCATCCAGTAGGCTACTAGCATGTGAAACTGAGAAATTTTAGAAATTTTTTCAACTTCAAGTTTCAAGTCTCAAAAAAGAAAAAAAAAATCATGATAATAGTTATAATCAGCAATAGGGTCATACCTCAACAAGAGTAGTGATCTGGTTTTTCCTTTTCCGTGGTGCCAGTTGCTTCTGTGTTTTCCACATTTTCTCATGGCCATAATCATCAATTTGATTAAAAGAAGTCAACTTATATCCGGTCATTTCCAGTACATCTTCTAAAAATTGTGCCCTCACTGGATATGCAAAGCCCTGATAAAACACAAGAAATGTTTGAGTACCTCATGGTGCAAGATATATCTCAAGAATATGAAACCATTTCAGTTCCTAGTAATCAGAAGCAACAATTTAGAAACCATGTACCTCACCAGCTTAATTGAAATAGAAACATCTGCAATGTTATAATAGAATTTTGAACATGCAAATATATGTTTTCTTTTGTTTACCAGCTGTAAAAGCTGCAGTATGGTTTTCAAGTGCTTCTGCTTGCAAGCACAAGTCATATTTAGTAGCATGTAGTTACACACGTTGCATATTTAATGTAATTTCTGGTGTTAAAAAAACTAAACTCCAAAACCAACATAGTTACAATCACTTGAAGACAAAGTACACAGCGAGCTTAAATTACAATTTACAATTCATTGCCTGAGGATACTGGAAAAAAAAATTTGAAAACTGGTTATTTAAACAGTTGATGCTCACATTTCATCATCCCATCAACACCAGGACATTTAAATACCAATGGATAAGTGTATATTAAGAACAATTCCAGGTTATAGCTTACCGGAATATGAATAGTTGGTGCTCCTCCAAAATAATTGGAAAAGAGTTCCGCATTCAAAGTGGCACTCATTAAAATCAATCTCAAGTCCTGACGACGTGGAAGAAGATCCTTGAGCACAATCAACAGGAAGTCTGTTACAGATAAAATGTAAGACAGAAAGGAAGAAGATAGGACAATCATTTATGAAGAATAGCTGATGAGCTAAACTTATAGGGAAGTTACCTTCATTCATGCCTCGCTCATGAATTTCATCAACAAAAACATGGGTTATGCCATTCAAGTTTCGGTCACTTAAGAGGCGTCGAAGTAAAATTCCACTTGTACAAAATAGCAGATGGGTGTTTTTTCCTTTCACACCCTCTAGTCGAACTTTATAACCAACCTAACAAAAAAATCTGTTGTGGTATAGCAGCAAGAATAAAAAAAGCTTTCAAAAAAAAAAAAAAGACTATTGTGTTAAAAAATCTAGTCTTTGTGTGTGCCATATGTTAATGTACTCAGTGAAAGAATGCTCACTGCTTCACCAAGAGGCTCTCCTCTCTCTGCAGACACTCTATCTGAAACAGCCATAGCAGATATTCTTCGAGGCTGAGTGCAAATTATGCTACAGAATGCTCCACGCCCAGATTCTATTTCTGACTCCAGTACATACTGAGGAAGTTGAGTGGTTTTACCACATCCAGTCTCTCCAGATATTACTATGACCTATCAATAAGACAACTCATCAAGATTAAATTTAGGAAAGGTAGACATCTACTATTCATATTTCATAACCATCAAAAGGTTCCTTTTCCTGTTTGATGGCTAAGCCATTCCACAAACAAGTGCGAAAATTAAAGACAAACTGAATAAAGAAATAATGAAAACAAATCTTGACAAATTGAATGAAGGCATCAAACCTATGGAGATCAAGAGAGGAACAATTAGAAAGTTATCCAAAACAACAGGAATTTTATTGCACAATCTTTGAGACTTTTAGCTGAAAACGAGCCAATGAGTCTTATATTCGGACCTGATTCCTTGCTATTGCTTGGAGTAACCTCTCCTTTTCCTTGAAAACCGGTAGAGATTTCCGGAAGTCCATCATTTTTCTGCCCTCAGGTGATGCCTATGAACCAAAGAAAATAAATATAGAACATGATCAGAATGAGACACATGGTTTTCGTCGTCCCACCTCTCCAAACATGCGCTATTGTTCAGCTTCTTAAATGCTATGGACTTCATGCCAATGACTCTTAACAAATTAATGACAAAGATTAAAATAAGAGAAAGTATGAATCGTGCCTGCCAAGCTCTTTGCATGTTACGCATTCGTAAACTCCTTTTCTGAAGAACCCTTTCCATCACAGATCGGTCTAGGAAAGAATCTGGATTCTCATCTAAACTTATATCTTCAACCTGATCGATGGACTTGGCATCATCTACATTGTCACCAACTTTTCCAGCCTTTAATTGAGTTCTATCAAGATGCTCCTGAAGTAAACCCTCAACCCTTCTTTGCAAACTTAGTGGGATAACCACCTGCACAAATGGAAAATTAAAATTTCAACCTGTCAGACTGACAAGTCACCTAGAACTAGCATTCATAAAAAAGCATTTGAAGAGCTTCACATTTCATTACCTCCCTTTGTGGCCTCTTATCATCCAAATCAGGCCTGTAGTTCGGTAGAGGAACCTTGCTTGCAACCACCACTTTTCCATAGAGTTCACTAATAAAACAACAAACCGTGTATAAGACTTCTATATATCATCTCAAAATCTCAATCAATAATGGGTACACAAAACAAAAGTACTTGTAACAAAGGTTACTCCAGCCCCCATTACCTATAAAGTCCCATTCTTCTAGCAAGATTCGAAATCTGCTCATAGTCCCTTCTGTCTATTTTATCTCTAGAAACAATCTCTTGGTCCGTTTCACTACGCAATAGCAAACTGAGCTTCCATTTCCATTCATCAACATTGGCCACCGACGAAGAAGCCTAAAATTAAAAACAAAACACCATCTGAGACCACTAAATTTCCCAACTTCTTGACAGTCAACCAATCAGTTTATATAAACAACAAATCAATGCCACTAATTGTCGCATAAAACATCAAAACCATCACATTTATTCCACAATCAGCAAAAATACTCGCAACCCTTCTCATTTCTGGTTAATTAATCACCATTTACGCATTCAAATCCCAATCTTTCACACCAAAAATCACAAATTTACATTTATAATCTAATTAAAAAGAATGATAGAAAAGAAAACAGACCTTGTGGCTTTCAAAATCACACTCGTACTCATCATCAGAGAACTGCTCTACTGCATACCCGCAAAAACCACGCCTCTGGGCGGCTAAAAAGCTGGTTTCGTTAGAATTTTGGAGAAACAAAAGCAAACTAGATAAAGGGTGGTTGTTTTTATTGCTGAAGATGGTGTTTGAAACTGACTTCTTCTTGGCGTTGATGCTGCATCCCAGAAGGAAACTTCTCAGTATAAGCTTTGAATTTTGCATATTTTAACTGATAATAACGAAGCAAATTCATTGCTTTTTGTGTGCTATCAAAGATTCAAATGCAAGGCAGAGCATTTCCGGGTACCCTATAAGCCACCAGTCCAGCAGAGAGATGGAGTCATGAAGAGAGAGGGAGGGAGGGGAAGAGAAATTGGCTAGCTAGGAAGTCTAGTAGAAGAAGGGAGTGAATTTTTAATTGGGTAAACTTCAATTTAGTCCCTATAATATGTATTTTTTTATCTTTTTAGTATCAAAAAGAAATATGTTATCTATTGGGTCCTCATCGTTTTTGATATTTTTCCATTATTTCTTGGTTGGGTTCTTGTGTTGATTTTTGTTGATACTTTCCATCTAATCTGCATGTTTTATGCTGTAAAACGACACTGTTTAGAAAATTCCAAACGTTTAATGAAGAAATAAATAGCAATTGATAGGATGGAAACGTAGATGATAAAAGAAGGCTTTTTTTTTTTTAACAAATACTACAAAATCAAGTATGGTCAGAACTAATCAAAAAACAATTTAATTATTTTTTATACTAAAAGAATTAAATAATTTATTTTAATAAACTATAGGGACTAATTTATAATTAACTTTTTTTATACTTTAATGAGTATCCTTGAATAACTTAAAATAAATAAATCTCCCCACTCCAAGATTATAACTTGAAAAACTAATTAAGCTTTAACGATTTAATGCGTTTTTATGTAATAAGATAATTCTCTAATATGTGATTGTATTTTTAATTATATAATTTTAGCTTTAAATATAGATTAAATTAATGTCTAATCTACCGTTGTGACAAATTTTTTAAACTAAACTCCTTGAATTAATAAATAATTTGCACATAAAATTTTTATAATAATTGATTGAGCTATTAACCTTAATATTAAGAAAAAATAACATAAAAAGAAAAGCAAAAACTTTAATTAATCATGTTAAACTTTGGCTAGATTAAGTTTTTATTTATTCTATCTACCCCATCTCTTAATTAAATTTATGGTACAATTTTTATTTTGTACAGAACCTTTCTTCCTTTGTAGCCCAATTGATGATGAAATATGCTGGAATATAAGAACAGGTGATTTCAATTGTTCTAGGGTTAATTATTGTCTAACATGGTATTATATATTGATCCTGAAATATTGTGATTACAAATATTTTGATGCTAAAATTTGTTCTTGGAAGCTAGATTTAGGTTTTCCTAGACGAGCTAATGAGGCTATAGAAATGTGCACCAAGCGCCATAATCACCAACACTCCAACACAAATATTTATTACCAATCCATAATTGTCATCCACCATGCCCACGTCTTTGTCAGACTCGTTAGCAGAAGCACTTGCATGTTCCATATCCTTAGATTCCTGGGAAATATCCTTGTCAGACTTGTCTTTATCGCCACCGGCTACTGCCTCATTCTTTTCCTCCTCTTCCTTCTTCTTTAGGACAACACTTTCAGCTATCTTTGATTCCTCAAATTTCTCATCCTTTTCCTTTTCAACAACTTTCTCGGGCTTTTCCTCTTCAATAGGCTTCCCATATGCTTCATTCTTTTCTTTCTTTTCGGTGACATTTTGATCAACCTTTTCACCATCTAGTCCTGCAGTCTTCTCATCCATTTGTTTTGTGGTATTATCGAATACATTAGTTTTTTGAGGAGATCCATCTTGACCCTTTTGAGATATCGATTTGCTGGTGGCCTTTTGAGGGCTTAGAGCTTCTGTTTCTTTCCCTGGAGGAGTCTCTTCTTCTACTTTCTTCTCAGGCTTTAGCTGTCCTGTAGTAGTAGTGTCTTGATCAGCCCTAGGACTCTCTTGGCTAGTTGTGGCCTCTAATTCTCTAGGACCAGTTTTTTGTACAGCAGGAATGATTTTTGGAATCCTGATGGTTAGAATCCCACCAGCAAGCTCCGATTGCATTCGACTCAGGTCACAGTTTTTGGGAATGTTGTAACCTGTATTAAACCGACTGCGAATGTTACTTCCGAGCATACGTTCTCCATAAACTCTGACATAACTTATGGATTCGTCTGCCACGATCCTTACTTGCTCATTCGCGAAACCTGCATCATCAAGATACTTTTTCAAAAGGATTCATACACGTGCATCTAATGTCACTTGAAATTGGTCAACATGAAAGAATGATTTTAATGCAGAAATAAAAACGTAAGCTTAGGATACTTTATAACCAATTAGCTACGAAAATTTATAGAAAAAAATGGCTTAGAGAATCAAAAGATTACCAGGAAGTTGTAGAAGTAAAACTAGAGCTGCATCATCTTCCTTCCATTCTGTTTTCGGCTGAAAAGTGGATTGAAGATTTTGGAAGGTGCTGCGCACAGGTTGGCGGCCACGGATGGGATTATACCCAACAGATCGATAACCACCATAACCACCCCTTGGATTCATCATGATTTTTATCTTTCTCTGTCTCTTTTAGTGTTTTTAACAAGACAGAAGCTTTGATAATACTATGTAATAGGTTACTATGTTCCTGTTTGTATTTATGTTATAAATTTTAGGACTGCAAGTTGGTTTAGAGTTTTCTTAACAGTAAGACTATTTGGTTGCTTTGCTTTTGTGAATTGGTTTAACTATTTCTTAGCCATTATAAGGCATAACTTCCTTTACAAGTAAAGGAAGGTTTCTTTTCTTTCTTCGGCATGTAGTCTTTCCATGGCATAACAATTGCAGAGGATAAGAAACCGATAAATTAAGTGATAGATTGATGTGCCCCTTCCAGGTAATCTACGTGAAGGATTGTCTTTTAACAGCTATAGAGTTTGAAAATGAGTTGTGGATGGATATTTTATATGTAGAGAATTAACGATACGTGCAAGAGATAGAAACAAAATAAATAATTTTTTTTTTTTTTTGTAGTTTTTCTTTTTAAATGTATCAATGAAGTAAGTATTGTTAATTACTTGTTGAGCATAATAAAGTTTTTCAAAAAAAAAAAAAACTATGTAAAATGGATCGATAATTGTTTGAGCAATCAGTGATGAGGATGAAAATCGCACTATAAATTAGTTGAGTGTCCTCTTTGTAGGCTTGCAGCCAATTCTAGTACAAAGCAATTCCATCGATATCTCCTATATTTTTTTATATTTGAAATTGGATCCTCGTTCATTATACATTATTCTTAATTTGAGGGATTATTAAAAACTTTCGGTTATTATTCTCTTCATTAACATTAAAATGGGATCCATAGATACTTATTATACCGAGTCTCATTTTTATGAGAGTGGAAGAGCAATATACCAAGAATATCTAATAATTTCTTAATTTTTCAATGTTTGTTTGCATTGAGAAAATAAAATTTTTAAGAAATAAGAAATGTTTAAAAAACTTAAAGACATAAAAAAAATGCTTTTTTTTTTAATACTTAAACTTTTAAAGTTGTTGAACCAATAAAAAAATTCTAAATTTTTGGAAAAAAAAAATGGAAATCATCAGCCATTAAAGTTTGAAAATGTTCAAAAAATAAAAATTTTCTTAAATTCTTAAGAAATTATTTTAATTTCTCATAATTTTATATATTTTTTAAAATAAAATTAATTAAAACTTTTACATCTTAAACATTTTTTTAAGATTTTAATTGTTGATAAATTTTAAAATACTATGAGATGTACTCATGGATGAACTTTCACCATGAAATTTAAGATTTTTTCAGTTAAGTCTCTTAAAAAGTTCTATAATTATACTTATAGCCTTATATCTCTTAATTTACAAAGAACGGTATTTTTGGATCCGATTTGTTGATTATTTTTCTATTTTGGTGCCTAATTGTTGATTTATAATGATTTGCTACTCAAATTTTAATTTTTTTGTTTGTTTTAGAGTCTTAATTAACTTGAAACTCAACTTTGTCGACATGTTTGACAAGAGCCGCCACGTGGTAGTCAACTCCGGACGCATCAGCAATCCGTATTCTTAGATGACTATGGACCCTCAAATAGGAAAAAAAATAAAAATTGAGCACCTAAACAAAAAGAAAAATCAATGGTTGGGCATCCAAAATGCAGTTTTCTCGAGAAATTTGTTTCAGCTTTTCTCACACCAAATGTCTCTCTCTTTCTTTTACTCGGATCTATCCCTTCTTCATTACAAATAAATTTTATATATTTTTTGTGCTTCCATAATCTTTATATATATATATGTGTGTGTGTGTGTGTGTGTGTGATCTCTCAAAACTTCTCTCTAGATATTGAAAGTCATATGATTCTAATTTTTAAAAAAATTAGTAATTACATGCATGCCTATCTTCTTATTATTATGATAATTGCACAAGTATAGTTAATAATGCATTCATTTCTTATCTTAATAAACATTTTATTTATTATCTTTATTGTTATCATTACGGATGCTAAAAGTCATTAAATTTATTTATATTGATTCTGTCTCATGTCATCTTACTAAAACTTTAATAAGTTATTGATCACATAAAATTTATGTTACTCATGATTTGTTGGTTGATCTTTTCTTTGGATGGAAGAAACACTTTTTATTCTCTATAAATTTCTCAGTTGGCTAATCCTTTGTCCCCCTGATATTTTTATTCTTTGAAAACAAGAAGAGAAAAAGGAATAGAATAGTGTTCCCCCTAATATTTTCTTACTTCCTATTCTACAAAATTACCATTTAATCCTCTTTTTCAAGTTAAATGTTAATCTTGATAAAATTTTCTCTTTTTTCTTAACATTTATCGAACATAACTTTTCATCTCTTACATTCATACCAAATATATATATATATTGTTAATTAGTGATAGACAATAATCACTTAACTAAATAACCGTTGAAGCTAATGTAACTTGCAATGTGACTTGCTATAGAAGCAAAAAAATTTCAAATCCAAACTATAAGAAGGATTAAAAAATTGTTAAAAAAAAAACTAATTGTAATATAAGATAACGCAATTTAAAATATCTAATATTATTATATTCTTATGTTTGAAAGTCTTATTTCAATTTAATACGTAAAAACATAAGTCTATTAATCACAACCCTTTTCATTTCTAGTTAATTAACCACCATTTAGGCATTCAAATCCCAATCTTTTACACCAAAAATCACAAATTTACATTCATAAACTAATTAAAAAGAGTGATAGAAAAGAAAACAGACCTAGCTTGTGGCTTTCAAAATCACACTCGTACTCATCATCAGAGAACTGCTCTAGTACTGCATACGCGCAAAAACCACCCCTCTGGGCGGCTAAAAAGCTGGTTTCCTTAGAATTTTGGAGAAACAAAAGCAAACTAAATAAAGGGTTGTTATTTTTATTGCCGAAGATGGTGTTTGAAACTGACTTCTTCTTGGAGGTGATGCAGCATCCCAGAAGGAAACTTCTCAGTAACAGCTTTGAATTTTGCATATTTTAACTGATAATAACGAAGCAAATTCATTGCTTTAATTCGGTGTACTATCAAAGATTCAAATGCAAAAACAAAAACAAAAACAAAAAAACCTTAATTAATCATGTTGAACTTTGGCTAGATTGAGTTTTTATTTATTCTATCTCCCCATCTCTTTATTTTGTACAGAACCTTTCTTCCTTTGCAGCCCAATTGAAGATGAAATATGCTGAAATATAAGAACAGGTGATTTCAATTGTTCTAGGGTTAATTATTGTCTAATATGTTATTATATATGGATCCTGAAATATTGTGATTACAGATATTTTGATGCTCCAATTTGTTCTTGGAAGCTATATAGGCTTAGGTTCTTCTGGATGAGCTAATGAGGCTATAGAAATGTGCACCAAGTGCCACAATCACCAACACTCCAACACAAATATTTAGTACCAATCTATACTTGTCATCCACCATGCCCACATCTTTGTCAGACTTGTTAGCAGAAGCACTTGCATGTTCCATATCCTCAGATTCCTGGGAAATATCCTTGTTAGACTTGTCTTTATCACCACCAGCTGCTGCCTCTTTCTTTTCCTCCTCTCCATTCTTTAGGCCAACACTTTCAGCTATCTTCGATTCCTTGGATTCCTGGGAAATATCCTTGTTAGACTCATCTTTATCACCACCAGCTGCTGCCTCTTCCTTTTCCTCCTCTTCCTTCTTTAGGACAACACTTTGATCTATCTTCGACTCCTTAGATTCCTGGGAAATGTCCTTGTTAGACTTGGCTTTATCACCACCAGCTGCTGCCTCATTCTTTCCCTCCTCTTCCTTCTTCTTTAGGACAACACTTTCAGCTTTCTTTGATTCCTTGGATTCCCGGGAAGTATCCTTGTTAGACATGTCTTTATCACCACCAGCTGCTGCCTCATTCTTTTCCTCCTCTTCCTTCTTCTTTATGACCCCAGTTTCCGCTACCTTTGATTCCTCAATTTTCCCATTCTTTTCCTCTTCCCTTTCAACAACTTTCTCGGGCTTTTCCTCTTCAATAGGCTTCCCATATGCTTCATTCTTTTCTTTCTTTTCGGTGACATTTTGATCAACCTTTTCACCATCGTGTCCTGCAGCCTTCTCATCTATTTGTTTTGTGGTATTATCCAATACATTAGTTTTTTGAGAAGATCCATCTTGACCCTTTTGGGATATCGATTTGCTGGTGGCCTTTTGAGAGCTTGGAGCGTCGGTTTCTTCCCCTGGAGGAGTCTCTTCTTCTACTTTCTTCTCAGGCTTTAGCTGTCCTGTAGTAGTAGTGTCTTGAGCCCCAGGACTCTCTTGGCTAGTTGTGGCCTCTAATTCTCTAGGACTAGCTCTTTGTACCGCAGGAATGATTTTTGGAATTCTGATGGTTAGAATCCCGCCAGCAAGCTCCGATTTCATTCGACTCAGGTCCCAGTTTTTGGGAATGTTGTAACCTGTATTAAACCGACTGCGAATGTTTATTTCGAGCATACGTTCTCCATAAACTATGAGATAACTTCTGGATTCGTCTGTCAAGATCCTTACTTGCTCTTTCACGAAACCTGCATCATCAAGATACTTTTTCAAAGATAAAAGAAAGGATTCATACACTACATGCTAGATGGAAGCCTATATGAAAATCGGCTAACTGGTTATAGAGTATCATGAACTTATAATCAGTTGAAAGAAAGCTTTTAACCCTTTTTTTAATTCTAATTTAGATTTCAAAACCGTAATTAAGTTCTTTTGTCTTGTTGACCGATCTCAGATATTAGATTCGGGATAAAAACATATGAACCATTAAAATAACGATATGTATTCTCCAACAAGCACTATCAGACTCATGAGTCTTTAAAATAACAATACTTGTTTTTTCACATGTTTCCACTATCATCTGAAATTGATCAATATAATAAAATAATTTTATTACAAACTAAAAACAAATTCGGATACTTTATAACCAATTAGTTACCAAAATGTATAGCTGAGTTTGAAAGCCAAAAAAATGGCTTAGATAATCAAAAGGTTACCAGGAAGATGTAGGAGTAAAACTAGAGCTGCATCTTCTTCCTTCCATTCTGTTTTCGGCTGAAAAGTGGATTGAAGATTTTGGGAGGTGCTGCTTACAGGTTGGCGGCCGCGAATAGGATTATATCCACCATACCGGTAACCACCGTAATCACCTCTTGGATTCATCATGATTTTTATCTTTCTCTATATCTTTAATTTGGTGTTTTTAACAAGACAGAAGTTTTTACAATACTATGTAATAGGTTACTATGTTCCTGTTTGTATTTATGTTACAATTTTTGGGATTGCAAGTTGGTTTATAGTTTTCTTAACAGTAAGACCATTTGGTTGCTTTGCTTTTGTGATTGGTTTAACTATTTCTTGGCCACTCTAAGGCATAATTTCCTCTAGGAATAAAGGAAGGTTTCTTTTCTTTCTTTGGCATGTAGTCATTCCATGGCATAACAATTGCAAAAGGATAAGAAATTGAGAAATTTTATGATAAACAACTGATTGATTTACCTATTCAAGGTAATCTATGCGAATGATTGTCTTTAACAGCTTTGGAGTCCAAAAGAAGTTGTGAATCCTTATGCATGAACATTAGATAATGAATATTTTAAGCATAGAGAATTAACAGAGATAGACAAACAAAAATAATAATAATAATACTAATAAATTTAAGTGGAAATATAATTATTTAGTAATGAATAATTTTCTTAACAACTAGTGATAAATAATTTTAAATATTTCAATGTTTGTTTCCCGTTGAGAAATATACCAAGAATATCTAATTAAGTGGGATAGCAATATACCAAGAATATCTATTAGTTTCTAAATATTTCAATGTTTGTTTCCCGTTGAGAAAATAATTCAAGAAACAAAAAACCTTTAAGAAACTTTAAGAAATAAAAAATATTTTTTAATACTTAAACTTTTAAAATTGTTGAACAAATAAAAAATTCTAAATTTTTGAGAAGAAAGTGGAAATCCTCATCCAATAAAGTTTGAAAATAATTAAATGTTCAAAGAATAAAAAGTTTCTTAAATGCTAAAGAAATTATTTTAATTTTAGAAATTTTATATTTTTCCAAAAAATAATTGCAATTAACATTTCTATATCTTAAATATTTTTTTAAAGATTTTAATTGTTAATAAATTTCAAAATACTATGATAAATACTTATGGTTAAACTCGTAGCAAAACCCAATGGACAGAAAAAACCAATTATATCTTCAAATGGTGGTTAGGAAGCGATCTAATTAAAAATGGAGAAAGTGGGAGAAATTTTATGTTGGATTTTTGCAAGAGCTCAGAAGGGCTGGGTTTCGATTTTTTTTTTCCAAAAAAAAAAAAAAAAAAAGCTGGTTTAGGTCAGGTTATATTTTTAAGCCCACATTAGTTAAAAAAAATTTAATGACATGACAACTGAGTTTTATCAGGTTTGGAGTAACTAATCCATTGCCATAGGTGAGTAATATAAAAATTCTCATACAAACAGGGCAGAGCTAGCAAGTTTTCGTTTAAGAGGCCAATTTATCATCATCAAATTAAAGATTCTTTCAATTAGATCCCTCAAAAAGTTCTTTAATAATACTTATGATCCTATATCTCTTAATTTATTTTGTTCTTGCCCTTGCCCTTGCATGTCTCATATTGCCGTTGCCCTCAATCATTTCTTTCTGGTTCTGCCACTGTAGAGTATTGGTGGATAAAATCACCCTTGCATGGTGTTTGGCATGGAATGAAAGATTAAGAGAAAAAAATAAGGAGATATAATTCAAAGTTGTGTTGGTAAGATTTGAAATAATTATGGATAAAATTAGATTATAATAGAAGTAAAATATAATTTAAAATTCAATATAGTCGTAAATCACTTAAATAACATATAGTTGTGATCTAAAATGAAAACGAGAGGAAGAAAAGAGTAATAGAATAGTGTTCCTTCTATTGTTTCCTTACCTCTTCTTTCACAAAGTTAACATTCAATCTTCTTCTTCTTCTTTTTTGATTAACTATTAATTTTTATAAAATTTTCTCTTTTCTCCTAACATTTATCAACTATAATTTTTCATTTTTTTTTATTTATACCAAATATGTTGTTAGTGTTAGATAATAATCTCTTAACTAAATGAATGTTGAAGCTAATGTAACTCTTAACGTGATTTGATATAGAAGCGAGCAGGTTTTCGAACCCAAACTATTTTTCTTCTTCTTTTTATTTTTAAACTCACATACTCAAGACTTTTAGCGAGAATTAGTTTATTAAAATTTGAACCCATAACCTCTTATTGTAAAAAACTATTATCACTCGATTACAAGCTCTTTAGTTTCAAACCCATACTATAGATAGGATTAAGGATTTGTTAAAAATATTAATTATAATATTAGATCATCCAATTTAAAACATCTAATATTATTATATTTTCATATCCGAAAGTCTAGTTTCAATTTAATATGCAAAAACATAAGGTTATTAAAAATACAAAATACCTATTGAGAGAAAGTAAAAACGCAATTTTAGGTTTAAGGATTATTTTTGTGTGGAAGTTTTTTTTTTTTTTTTTCCTCATGATTCAAACTTATGTGCATCAACGAAGAAAAAAAAAAAAAAAAGAGTCCACCCCAAAAACAAAAACGTTTACAGGAAGAAACTTTTTTTTTAATTAACTTCATTAAATACTTATTAAAGATGTATTGATGATTAAACTAACTGCTGACCAAGCCTTTGAAAACTTTCACTTATAAATCAATAAGACTTGACAGTTTAATCAATCAATCTTCTATCATCAACTATTCTTTGTCGTCTGAGTTTATAGCAAGATGGCCATTTTCAACAAAACCATTTTCATGGTTCTAGTTGCTTTGATTGGTATATTTATGGGTACACCAAGACTTGCAAGAGGCATTATTAAAACAACCGAGGAATCTGAATAAAAGTTTGGCAAATATTTAGAAGATTGTTCTGCAAAGCTGACTAATAATTGTGGAGCAGAAGTTTTTCAAAATTTGATCGACAATTATGTCATATCTTATGACTCGTTGTAACAAACTCGTAATAACAGGAAAGGATTGTCATAGTGCAATGACAAAATTGCTCATTTCAAAAGAGCCTGAAGAAAATCCATCCAAACTTTCTGCTAAAAGTCTCAATGTTTGGAATTATTGTGTTGGTGTTGCAGCTACACCTTCTTACACCTCTTTCCTTCCAAGTCGAAAATAAATTCAAGAATATGCAGTCAATGTTATGATATTTTTTTCTTAAAAAATTAATATTGTACTTTAATAGTACTAAATAAACAATCTTTTTATTTTTCTTCATTATTGTGATTTCCTTAATTTCTTAGAAATTTTATATTTTTCAATAATAATCTTAAGCATTTTTTAAAAGATTTTAATTGTTGATAATTAAGTTTCAAAATACTATGATAAATACTCATGGATGAGCTTAGAGCAAAACCCATGCATATCAAACTTAAATTATGGATAAAATCTTGAATTTGGCTACATCGTTAATCATTTCAAATTGGAAGAACTCATATCGAAACCCAATCAGCACCTAAAACCGCTCCATTTGATTCTTAATTCTTTCCTATATTTTTTTTTTTGAAACAAATTGAATTCATTTGTTTTTTTTTCTTTTTCTAATTTTGATATGTTATTATATTGCATTAGATTTTATTTTTGTTAAATTGATCAAATGAAAACCTCATAAATGATAATGAAATGAACAAGTAGAGGATTAATATAGCTTTAATTTGATCAGACTCTGTAAAGTAACATCACAAGATTAAATATATAAAGTTTCCTTTTTTTTCTTTTTTACAAATGAATGTGTTGACCTTTTTTCAATTAAGAATAATAGATTTCTTTTTCATTTAATTTCCCAATTATTTAGCATTTTATGATCTGTACGTATCCTTTCTTAGTCCTACATTACATCAAATTAATTTAATGATCTAAATATTGCAAAAGCATTCACACAATCAACAACATACCGATACAGATATTTATATTGAATAATACTCAAAATAAAACTCAATTCCATCTGGAGTATTGAGTACAATCTTAATTATATCATCATATATCTCCCGACAATTTCCTACCACAAATTTGACAAACAACTATGCTTCAAAAAATTTTTGATTCTATGCTCATAATAATATTCAAAAATCCATGATCAATAAAAAATACTTGGAAATGATTAATTTTCTGCGCATCTAGCGATAAGGATGAAAATCGCACTACAATTCCAGTACAAGCGATGCGATTACTCCTATATTTTTTTATTCTTGAAATTGGATCTTTGTTGATTATACATTATTCTTAGTTTGTGGGATTATTAAGTACTTTCGATTATTATAGCCATACACAATAAAATAGGATCGATGAATGGTTATCATACAGAGTGTCATTTTTATTTCAGTGGAAGATCAATATACCAAGAATATCTAATAATTTTTTAATTTTTCAGTGTTCGCTTAGCATCCAGAAAATAAAAATTTCAAGAAACAAAAAATCTTTACGCAACTTAAAGAAATAAAAAAAAATATTTTTTTAATATTTAAACTTTTAAAATTGTTGAACCAATAAAAAATTCTGAATTTTTTGGGGAAAAAATGGAAAACCTGAGTCATTAAAAGTTTGAAAACGTAGAAAAAATACATAATTGCTTGAGAAATTATTTAAACTTCTTAGACATTTTATATTTTCCAAACTAATAATAATAGTAATAATTAATTGACACTTCTATATCTTAAACGTTTTTTAAGATTTTAATTGTTGATAAATTTCAAAATATACTATGATTAATACTCACAGCAAAACCCAATGAGCAGCTAAACCAATTATATCTTCAAATGGTGGGGAGGAAAATATCTAATTAAGAGTGTTGTAAGTGGAGGCAGAGTTAGGAAAATATCTAATTAAACCAATTTTCATCACGAAATTTAAGTTTTTTCAATTAGGTCCTTTTAAATAATCTATAATTATACTTACCGTCCTATATCCGTTAATTTATTTTATTCTTATCCTTTCAAGTCTCATATTGCCATTGGCTCCAATCTTTTCTTTATAGTTCTGGCCACTGTATACTATGTAGTGGTGAATAAAATCACCCTTACATCTTGTTTGGTATGAAATGAAAAGTTCAGAGAAACAATATTAAGGAGGTAAAATTCAAAGATGTT